GCGGCAGCCATGTAAATTTAAATGAAGTGGCGATTATTTAAATCGCCGCTTCATTTTACTATGTCCGGTACCCTAATCTACATGCTTCTGGCAACAGAGGCATGTAGTCTAGACGTACCCCTAGATGTAGCCCCAGACTAGTAGCCCTCAGTGGTGAAAGAACAGGATACGGACCATTTAGAAAAGCTGGAAATACACAAATCCATAAGGCTGGATCTAATGCATCCAAGAGTGCTGAGGGAGTTGGATGATGTGATTGCAGAGCCATTGGTCACTATCATCGAAAATGCGTGGCAATTGGGGGAGGTCCCAGACAACAGGAAAAGGCAAATGTTGTGCCCATCTTTTAAAAAAAGAGAAGAAGAATGCAGAGAACTACAGACTGGTTGGTCTTCTCTCAGTCCCTGAAAAAATCATTGAGCAGGCCCTCAAGGAATCCATTATGAAGCACTTGGAGGAGAGGAACGTGATCAGGAACAGTCAACATGGAATCACCCAGGACAGGGCGTGGGCAATAATTTTGGAAGGGGGGGGCACTTCACAAGTTTCAGAAGTGGCTGTGGGCTGACCTGGAAGGGGCGGGGTTGAGAACTATCCTGCTGAGTACGGTGACCTTATTTTCCGAACCAGCTGCAGCTAGTAAGAACTGTTTAACTTAAATTATGAAACAGATTAAGTGTTTCAACTTTCTCATGTTACTTTATTTAAAATGAAGTTTGATAAATTAAAATGTTATGCCCAACACAAAAGGTTTCAATGTTTTCTTTATTTATGGAAGGGAACCTTTTTTGGGTTGGGGTAACTGATCCACAAAATCAGTTGGGGACCACACAAGTGAGAAGCAAAGAAACCCCTCCAAAACCCCCCAGTTCTCACTGATGTGGCCCCAACTGAGATACCTCACTCCTCTAGTGCCACAACCTCACGGGGTGAGGAGAAGAGGAGGGGGGAACTGAGGTTCAGGGCTTCCCATAGACCAGATTTACTGGGGTTCTGGAGTTAGTGGATTTGAAGGACCTCCTTAGGCTCTGGGATAGGGACAAAAATGAGGGTTACAGTGTGTGTGACAGGGCTCCCAGAAAGTAGCTAGGAAAGGATGTGGACAAACTGGTCTGCAAAAGAGAAGTGTGAGGGGGAATTTGATAGCAGCCTCTAAGTACCTGAAGGGAGATGGATGGAGCCAGGCAGTTCTCAGCAGTGACAGAACAAAGATAAACGCTCTCCAGTTACAGTGGGGGAGGTCTAGGTTGGATATTAGGAGGGTGGGTTGGAACATGTTACCTAGGGATGGAGATCCCTAAGGGCTTTGAGTCCTGGCTTGACAAAGGCCTGGCTGGGATGATTTCTTTGGGATTGGTCCTGTTTTAAGCAGGGGGCCGGATTAGATGGCTTCCTGAAGTCTCTTTCAACTCTAATCTAGGATTCTATGAACACAGCAGCAGGTGGTGCTACACACCCAAACTAAGCTACCTGAGTGCTTTCCTAAAGTCACTCAAAGACAGGCAGGAGATAACAGCCAATTTTCCAGCTCCTCCACCTTGCGCTCTTGCTGGAGTATAAACCCAGAATTATACTGTCCTCTCAGTGAGGGAAAGATATGCACAACAAGCTTATGTTAACCAAGCTGAGCTTTTATTCCTCAGCCACTTAACTCACAGACACACTGATTTAGATAAAGTATAAAAGATTCTGTCTCAAGTGATTTCCCTTTGGGTGCTCCACTGTTGGTGTCAGGTTGTCCTGGCATTGCAGCTCAGTTTTCGTTAGCAGTAGTCAACCAGACCGCACATGCACAGTGAGTGCCTGGCGCCGTTCGTGCCCTTTCAATCACACACATGGTCCAGCTCCCACCAGTTCCTTCTTCACCTCCCTTGGTCACAGATGGAGCGAGCCCTTTCTCCTCACAACTCTAGTCAAAGAAGATATTTTAGTTCAGTATTTAGTTTTCTACACTATAACTATTAAAAAGTGACTAGCTAGCAGTTATTAGTTACTATATCCTGTTTCTGAAGGATGCGGGGTTGGCCCTTGCTTCCCTAGAAGTACATTTGTTAGCGATCACTGCTTTCCATCACTGAATAGATAGGATGTGCAAACACTGAGCAACTATCACCAAAAGATTTATCAGAGATCTTTGTAATCTATACCTGCCACATAGATTGCTACCACTGACATGGAACCTGGAGATGGTGTTGGCTACTCTTACCTATGTTCCCTTTGAACCACTAGCTACCTCTTCACTATCAACAATGATGATCAAGGTATTTTTCTACTAGCCATTACTTCTGCCTGTAGAGTTGGGGAACTGGCGGCCTTAATGGCAGTACCATCGTATACCACATTTAATAAAGACAACGTCATATTGCGCCCACATCCCTCCAACTTGTTCAGACTTCCACATAAATGAACCAATTGTCCTTCCTTCTACCCTAAACCACGTGCAACTCATCTCTTAACGTGTGCTGAGCACTCACTTTCTATATAGACAGTACTCTACCTCTTTGCAAATCAGAGCAATTGCTAATCTTGGTGGTGGAATGCTCCAAACCTCTCTCATCGCAACGCATTTCCAGACTCATGGTTTCCTGCATAATGAAGTGCTATGCCATATGGAATAAACCACTCCTGGAAGCACCTAGAGCACACTCTGCGAGAGCTGTAGCAACCTCCACAGCTTTCCTTCGGAGGTCCCCCTCAGGGACATTGGCCGAGTGGCCACATGGTCCACAGTGTTACCTTTATGAAACATTACGCAATTTCTCGGAGTCTAGCGAATGATACCACTGTGGCCTCTGCAGTACTATCGACTGTGATTAAATCATGACTGCGAGACCCGCCTTCCACGTACTCTCAGGTACTGCTATAGAGTCACCAACAGTGCAGCACCCTCACTGAGGGGACATCGCTTGAAGAAGAAGAGAGAGTTACTCACCTGTGCAGCAATGATTGTTCTTCGAGATGTGTATCCACATGGGTGCTCCATTATTGGCGGCAGGTCTTCCCCATGCTGCAGATCGGAGTTTTCATTAGCAGTAGTCAGACTGTGCATGAGCAGCGAGTGCCTTGCACCATTCGTGCCCTTTCAATCACACGCGCGGTCCAGCTCCCGCCAGTTCCTCGAGTCCACGTTGGTATCTGAAAGATACAATAGGAGACTCTGAAGCGGGGATGAGCACCCACAGGGGGGACACATCTCGAAGAACAGTCGTTGCTGCACAAGTGAGTAACTCTCTCTAAGTGATTATAAGAGATAGCAAACAAATCAAAGCAGATTGTCTATTAAATAAACCAAAGCACAAACTAAATCTTATACTAATTAGAGAGCCTGTAGATGAATTATCACCCTGCCTGATGACACAAGCAGGCCATCAGATTGCCTGCCATACACAGGCTAGAAATCCCTTTAGACTGAATATCCCAGCTCAGACTTTGATCCTCAGGTGTTTCCAGGAGGTCTCGTGTGGGGAGCGAGGTCCTCAGATGACTCCACACTGCACCTTGGATAGTCGCTCCCTGCAGCAGACCTTTGTTCCAAACTCAGTTCTCTGTCCTGCTTGTAGAAAAATATGGTACCAAAATGGAATTCAGTGTCATGTGGTATGGTCATATGTCCCATTATGTATGGGAGTTTTCCAGAGCAAGACTAGTTGAAATAAAGACACAGAGTCAATATTCGCAACTTCAGCTACAAAAATGATACTTATACACACACATGACTTGTTGGATATGATTATCCTAACTTTTCCAATAACACCTTCCAAGGCCAGATGCATTGTAATTGTTATAATCATACCATTATGAAGAATTTGGGATGCAGAGTCACAGAGGGATCCCCATTTTGGGAGAGTGGCCACAGAGCCTCAGGGGTTCCCTGAGTTGGGCTCATATTGTTCTTGCTTCCAGCAGTCTGGGTCACTGGGCCAGAGCCAGAGAAGTGCGCCCAAGAGAGTCAGTGGGAGGTGAGCTGCTCTGTGGGGATCTCTATCCTGTCCAACCCCACTCTGGGACTAGTGGCAGGACAAAGGGTGGCTTTGGGGCATCTCCGAGGCAGCATCATTCCTGGGAGTTCATTCGTATCAGCCCTGGGAGGCTGCAGACCTCGTACCTTATTCTTGCTGCCCTGTGTAGTAAGATGAAGGCCTAAAACATAAGCGGCTGTATCTAGACTGCATCTCTTTTCTGTAAAAAGGATGCAAATTAGACACATTGCAATTGCAAATGAAGCAGGGATTTAAATCCCCCCCGCTTCATTTGCATAAACATGGCTGCGCTTTTTTCCGGCTCGGAGCTTTGCTGGAAAAAAGCGCCAGTCTAGACAGGGATCTTTCGGAAAATACAGCCTTTTCCAAAAGATCCCTTATTCCTCTTTAAAAAATGGCAGAATGATGGCTAGAGATGATCTAATCAAACCACGAGGTACAGGGTGATGGGTGGCATCTAAATAGCGTCAGCGGGTCAGCGGTGAGGTCTGACTTGTACCTGTACATAAGCTGGTGTCTCGGGGGGACAGTCTTTGTATGACCTAGGGGGCAGTGGGACCTCCCACGGATAGTCATTCCATTGTGGCAAGTACACATGCGTAGGGATCCAGTAGAGTCTACTGACAACTCTGACTGTACTTCCCTCTACAATAAACCTGGCCTGGCACCTTCGATCCTTATCTGGTTTGTGGTCTTGGGGGGCCCTCTCGGGGTCTGCTGTGGAGACTAAATGCACAAGTCCACATGGCCCAACGGAGCCAGAGACCTGTGAGGACACCTCGCAATGAATCCCGACTGTCCTCCCTGAATAACTATACCAGTGGTCCCCAACACGGTGCCTGCGGAGCAATCTGGACTGGCCCCGTCCCCAGGCGTGTGGCAGGTGCCAGCCCCGGGTGCCTGGGCGGCCCCTGCCCGGGGTCACAGCACATGCCAGTGCCAGCCCTGGGCGTGCAGCGCATGCTTGTCCCCACCCCCAGGCCCATGGCCCATGAGCGGCCCCACCCCCGTGTGTGCGGTGCGTGAGCAGCCCCGCCCCCAGGCACCTGGCAGCCCCAAAACGTTGGGGACCACTGAACTACACCCTGTTCCAGAGGGCAAGAGAGCCCCTCCCACCAGTAGGGAGCAAGCCAGAATGAGAGGGGAAACAGAGTCACATCCTTTGCAGAAAAATATTCCAACCCTTTCTGCATCCTCTACAGCAGCGTTTTCCAGACTATGGGCCGCAGCCCAGTACCAGGCTGCAGGAAAACAATAGCGGGCCTCAGCGTGGTTGCCAGGGTGTTCCAGGCTCCCGGAGTGCCCGTGTGGGGCCGGGTCCCCCAAGCCCTCGGCCGGCCTGGGCGGAGTCTGCAGCCAGATGTTCCGGCTCCCGGCAGAGGCATAGCTGGGGTAGGCGAAGGGGAGAGCTGGCCACTGGAAGCAGCACTGGATGGGGACAGGCAGGGGGGGTTGGGGGGGGGGCCCGAGGGGCCGAG